GTTGGGCTCATTCCAGTTGGTTTATCAGGAAGGGAGAAAAATCCTACTCTTTTTTAGACATGAGGCAGGATAAGTAAACAGTGTATAAATAGACACACAGTTCATCTGCTGTATGAACATTTCACAGAGGGGATGCTTAAATGTGGGTGGCAATGAGAAGAAGATTCAGAAATGCTGATCTAGACGATGTGAGAGGCAGTAGGTGTACCTTCTTAGGACCAGCCATCCATTGCACATACACTGGCCTGGGATGGCCCCAGAAGCCTCCTGGGCCAATAGCCCCAGAACTGCCCTGTCACCTCATGTTTCCTTGGAGCTGTGCAGACACTGACTCATTCACCTTCTCAATGGGAAGATGGTCCAGTAAGATAAGATAGTCTATTTGCAAGTCAGCTTCTCTGAACACAGGTACTCCTGTTTGCAGAGTCTCTGGAAGTACAAGTGAAGGAAGGAAGTCGCAGGAGGTACACAGGGCAGCGCAGATACCTCGCACCTCAGCAGGACCTCTCAGCCCCCATGCTTCACGTTTCTCTTCCTACCAAGATTCTATCTGTTTCTTACCAGATGAATTCCTGGGCTTTCTGCAGAGTGCAAGATAAAGGTCTCATCCCCTGAAAATCCCAGGTGGGCAGGTAGTCTTTTGTTTGAACATCCCAAGTGCTTTATAAAAATCCTAATAATGCCAATAGCTGCTATTTCTTGAACACTTAGGGAGATACTATTGTAAGTCTTTAATTTACATTATTTCATTTAATACTCTCACTGTTAACCCTATTTTACAGAAATAACACCAAGGTTTAGGGGAGTGAAATTTGGGCTTTCTTGATATTATACATCTAGTAAGTACATAACAGACATCATGCAATAAACAGTCTTCTAACTCTCAGACTGTACATACAAGGCTTTGTACCTCACCTCACTGGATCACAATCAACGGGCACGTGCCTCTTTCCTCCATTACCTCTAATTACCAAAGACCCAGTCCTGATGCCATGAATTTTACAGTCAATTCCTTTTGTAAAACTGCAGGTTATTATTTGCCAAGACTCAGCTTTGTCATCTATAAAATAGAGACAGTAAATGTCTTCCTAATGGATCAAGACAAAAATTAGACACATCTTTTTACATACTTACCACAGCAAATGGCACATAAATACTTAGTGAAACATGTATTTACCAAGCGACTATGGAATGCCAGATCTCATGTGGGGAAAATAATAATAAAACAGCTGCCTTGGAGCCAACACACTAGGAATTTACTGTATGTTGGCTGCACTCATTCTTGGAGGACAGGGGCTATGTGTGCTTTAACAAGGATTTTCTGTGGAAATTCCTGATAGTAAGTTAATACGCAATAACATTTTGGTGAGCAAACAATAAGGCTAACAGTTCACACAATTTCAGAGATCCAAAGTGGTGGAGATTGTGTTAACATAGTGGTTGACATTTATCTAACAGTAGGTGAAATACCTTAAAATGAAGTACTAAGGAAATATCCCGAGTTTGCACACATGGAAGCCATTTCAGCTTGGCACCACCACTGCACAACTTACACCCTCATACTTGCAGCCCAAAACAGAATAACAATAGAATGACACAGAAGCAAGAATATATTTAATAATACTCAAGATGTAGGGACGAGAGGGGAGAAGTTTCAAAAGCACTCATCTTTAAGAGATAGAAATCAACTGATGCTATATGAAGACAATAATTTATGAGCATAACTTATTTTTAACCAAAACTCATATTATTTTTAGTCAGAGATTTTAAGGAAACAACGTATCTGAAATGAGGTAAATTTAGTTCAAGTTTGATTTTTCTTTTAGTTTCATTTTCTTTAATTGTTTAGAATCCAAAAATTTATATTATTTTTGTTATACTTGTTTATTCATTTTCACATAAATATTTATAAATATCCAGGTATATAGATGTCTGAAATAATATACATCTAAGGTTAATAATGGGAATTATAGTATGAGAATTTTAATTGCTCTCATAATCTCATAATTTTTGGCCTTATTGCAATTCTTAATAATCAACATACATTATTTTCATAAAGTGTGTTTCAGGGCTGAGAAGATGACTCATATATGCAATGTTTCTTTTACACTTCATTTTCAGGTATTTTACCTACTGTTAGATAATGTCGACCTATTATGTTAACATAAAGCACTTGCCATGCAAGCATGGGGACTGGACTTCGGGTTCCCAGAACCCATATAATATTGAGTTCTACCTGGTTTCCCAGCACTCAAAAGGCAGAGATGTGATCTAGCTAGACTAGCAGAAATGGTGAGTCCTGGGTTCAGCAAGAGACTTGCCTTAACATGAAAAATGGAGCACTCAAGGAAGACACTGGATATCAACCTCTGGCCTCCAAATGCAGGCACAGATGAATGCACCCACTCATACCCACCCATAGAAGCGCACATGCACACAGACCACAGCAATAAGTTGGTATAACTTGGAGTAATTCAAGGAATCTACTCATTTTATATAAAAATCCAGTATTCCCCATGTTTGGCATTATCATATCCATATTACAATAGTTATTTCTTTCAATTTCAGTGAACAACTCATTGCCTGTGAACAAACTTTAATCACTGCTGACTATACCATAAAGGATAAATAAATTCTTAGTGCCTTTACTTTTGAAAATGTCTTCTGCCAATCAAACTCTGAAGCTTTTGTATATATTTTAGCAAAAGAAGAGAGATTTCATAAAACTATGTCTGTGAAGTACTTTAACTCCTACTGCATTCTGTCAAAGTATGGGCTGGCATTCTAGTCTAGGAGTTAATGTTATTCACAGGGAAAAAGATGCAATCTTTAAAGAAAACATAGGTGTTGGTCACTGTGCTCCATCCCCTTTCAGTGCTGACCTCTCCATTGCAGCCTTTACGAATACCTATACCACCTCGCCTTGAACTAATTTCCCTACCACAAAAGGCAACCTCATGGCATTCCAGGTAGCTCTAAATATGAATGCAGATTTCTCTTATAGTGACCTAACTAAATATGAATGCAGATTTCTCTTATAGTGACCTAACTCTATTTCCATCCATGTCTTGTTCTTACTGCCTGTCCTGTAATCCAGCTCTTCTCCTGTCCAACGCCCTTTAAACTCCTGCAAACTTCCCGTGTTTCCTGAGGTATCTCATTCTGGCTTCACCATCCCCAGCTCTCCAGTGAACCTTTAAGTACAAGAGCTACCAGCTTCGAAAGTCCTGATGGTCATTCAACTCTCTCTAGTGGTCAAGGCAGTGCCTAGAGCTAAAAACGTTCTTTTGAAAACATGCCAAAGTGTTTTCAGGAATCACAAATCCAACTTATGCAGCTGTCCCTTTAAATCATTCGATGAACACATCCTAAGTTGCTAGATTCTCTTACAATTGCTTCACCTATCTTGGATTTCAGTTTCCTCTTCGCCATGGCTTTTTTTTTTTTCTTGGCAAACTGGTGATCATTCTTACATTACTTTTGGGTGAAAGTGGCTGAATCTTGGGTTTTAAGGCACCTTAAGCAAAATCAGAAGCAAATGTGATGCTGTGGAATTCATGGACCATTTCATGAAATCAATTAAAGAGTGAGCCAATGGCAGGAAGAAGTCGAAGCAAAGCCTTCCAGAAGTAAGTTTCTCAGGCTGGACCCTGGAGTACTTCTTTATAACTCAACTCAGGTGACTCCTGCATACTGCCATCCTCCAATCCAAAACACTGGTTTGGGGAAAATAATTCATGTGTCCCCTCCTGGGTGAAAATTCTCTTGCTCATTTATCTAGGTGTGGCCAGGGATGGAGTTGTGAATATATGAACCTTTTGCTTATAGGTCATCCTTAGAAAAAGGGAAGTAGTTTACAAGACATCTCACAAAGTTGCTGTGGTTCCAGAAGCAAAGTAATATGCAGAGATATTAATCTATATTCATCTTATTTCCTGCCTTTCCTCCTTGACAGGCATCAAAATGGGAAGTTATTGCAGCAGGACAAGTGAGGTAAGTAGAAAAACAGAAATAACTCATCAATAGTTCTAGATCTCTCCAAATCTTAAATTCTTAGAAGGATTTCTCTAGATGATATAAAAATCTTCTTAGGGAATTTCTTTGAGACTATTAAAAGAGATAGAGAATTTTAGATGTGAAGAGTCCCAAAGAAACATAAAAGGAAGATTCTCTCAGAGTTCTTAGGGGAAAGGGAGAGAGAGGTGCAGCAACCCAGAAAGAGGGATACCCATGCCTTGCTTCCTGGCAGTCACCAAGAAAGCCATAACACCCTACAGGTGTGTGTGTGTGTGTGTGTGTGTGTGTGTGTGTGTGTGTGTGTGTGTGTGTGTGTGTAGCATGTGTAGGTAGATGGGTACATAGGAAATGTCACAAAGATTCCTAAGGACAAAGTATGACCTAAACACTACACTGAGAGAGTTGTGGTGGCAAAATGCTGGGTGCTACAGTGTCACTCATGTGGCCTACTACCTCCATGACCAGAAAGCTCCTTCTGCCAAAGCTGTGGCATGCTATCATTCTCCCAGACCACAGTGCTGGGGAGTGGTATAGCTCTAAGAATGGTGGAGGTCAACTGCTTAACCTTCACAAGAAAGAACATGATTAAAACAGAAATTAAAACTGTTTGTAATAAAAAAAAAACATTAGGTTCTTGTTTTGTGGCTGTTCTCACTGATGGGGATGCTTATTTTCTTGGCTTGAATGAAAAAGACAGGAGCAAAATGAGACTTTAGTAGTTCTGCCTCACCACTCTGGATTTATCAAGCTAGAGAAATTGTAACAATGAAAGCCATCCCAGTCCTTAAAAATTTGTAGAAAAGTTTTTCCAATCCTGTTCTAGTTCATGACATTCATTTTCCTTATGCTATTCTCCAGGACCGATGACACAGCCTTCTGTGTGTATTCTTAGGCTGGACCCATCATCCCCTTGTCCCCTCTCTGAGATGTGCTTCAGGCAGAAGTGCCACCTTGCTTTGTCATTCAACCAGCTTGGGACTTACACTTCATAATAAATTCTGTCTTAGCTGAGCTCTTGGATTTAGCAAATGGTGATCAATTGGCAGCCATGGAGATGCTTCATCCTGAAGTAAAAATAAAAGAGGGGGAGAAAACTAAACAGTCAAGTCATCCAGACTGAGTCTAGGATTTCACTACCCTTTGCCCTCTTCATGCTTGGAATTAGAAGAACAATTACTTCTGGAAAGGAGCTAGCTCAGTGATGCAATGAATAAAGTCAGGGTGTCAGGTGACCTGGATCTATTCTTAGCCCTGTACTGTGCAGGAGTGACCTTGGGCAAGTCATTTTTCACATCCTAATCTCATTGTTTTCCACTACACAAATAAGAAAAACACCTTGTTACCTCCTTACCAAATAATGTGTATGTAAGAATTATGCACATGATGGTGATTAAGAAAACATGTTTTCTTTAGTAATCTGTCATAGTTTTTCTTAAGATATTGTGATCTTTGTGGCATTAAAGTTCTTCAAATATTCCTAAGAATTAAAATTAACATGTATTTGCAGAGATTAAAATTAGGACTAGCCCTCTGCTCATTGCATGAGTTGGCTGTTTGAAACCTGGAGCTTATGCAGGGATGCTTGGCTCAATCTGGGAGGAGGGGACTGGACCTGCCTGGACTGAGTCTATCAGGTTGATTGCAGTCCTCGGGGGAGGCTTTGCCCTGGAGGAGGTGGGAATGGGGGGTGGGCTGGGGGTAAGGGGAGGGGGGGAGGGGGGAGAACAGGGGAACCCATGGCTGATATGTAGAACTGAATGGTATTTTAAAATAAAAGAAAAGAAAAAAATTCCAAAAAAAACCCCACAAAAATTAGGACTAGCTTAAGCCAAATCAGAAAGCAGACTTAACACAAAGACAGTACCTTCCACTACACATTGAATATTCTAACCTTAATTACCTGGAACTTACTTGAATGGGTAGCAAAGCCAGAATTCAAAAGCCCTGCCACTCTCCTATGGGTAAACAGTAGAGGATGCTAGAGAAGAAGCAGATCTATGGAGATGAGGACACTGTCAAGCAAGGCCAGGACTGATGCCAATTCTATAAATGATTCCACTTTCTGCAGATCTGTTAGCTTATTTTTTTTTTTTTTGCAAAGCTTTCCAAATGTGTGCTAGGCTTAGAAATGTGGCCAAAGTGACTGCCTTCATCTAAAAAGAGAACGGATGACCATTTTAATGAGTCTAAAAAGCCGCTCTTGCTTTTTCACTAGATCTGTACTCAAAATATTGCACTATATTTATGGCTTATCCTGCTTTAAAGTAAAATAAATTAAAACCAGGAGTATTCTCACTGGCCTACTAGGGCATAGAAAGTAGAATGCAAGCCTCGCAAGTGGGCAAAATACTAACCAGATTCTACTTAAAACTATGCCCTTGAGCAAACACATTAACCTCTCTTGAGTCCTGGTCCTTTCTGTACGAGAGGTTCAGTGCCACTTACTTTGTGCACACGATGGGCCAGCAGAGCTCGTAACCAAGGCAAGGTTTCTAAATCCTCTGTATTAGGCCCAGGATGAGCCCAATGGGAGGCAACAGGCACTTCTCACTGCCTCCCTTAGACTATCCTTTAAGGATTTTTTTTCCTTTGCTAGGACATTAGGTTGCATGGACTATATGTTGGAATGGTGAAAACCCAGCTCTGCTAGTACTTACAGGGCTAAGAGCACCAAGGTGTGCTTCTTCTTGTCAGTGAACACATCAAAGCAGAAGTGTACATTTTTACACATTACCTCTAACATAGCAGTTCTCAACTTTCGGGTTGTGACCCCATTGGGGGGTTGCATATCAGATATCTTGCATATCAGATATTTACATTATGATTCATAACAGTAGCAAAATTATAGTTATGGAGTAGCAACTAAATAATTTTTTGGTTGGGGGGGGTCACTGAAACATGAAGAATTATATTAAAGGGTCGCAGCATTAGGAAGGTTTGAGAAGCATTGCTACAGTGCTTACACACAAACTATTTTCCAGGTAGGAGACAAGAGACTGTATTCTCAATGGATGGGGAAATTTTATTTAGCACCTCCAGAGGCCCAAACACATTTAAACACAATTTGTGTCAATGTTTATTTCTCTCAGAGGAGAAAGATCATTATCTATTTCCATAACAATTATTCCAAAATAATTTCTACCTTCTAGTTCAGCAATCTTATGCCATCAAAGTGCAAAAACCTTTCTTTTTCATACTTAGAAAAACTGATCTGAGACAGCCAAGGCTGTTACATAGAGAAACCCTGTCTCAAACAAAACAAAACAAACCTGAGACTCTAGACAGAGATTTGACACTTGTAGGGAGCTCTCAGAAAGCAAGAGCAGCACCAGGGTCACCTGAACATACCTAGAAGGGTGCCTTCTTTCCCACAGGTAACACCATTCATTCAGACATTTTCATTTGGACCTCAGTTGCATGAGTATCAGGCGAGGAAATTAGAATTGCTACAACAAACAGGTTACTGGGGAAGGCTTCTCCTACTAACCAGGAAGGGTCTTGTTCTCTTTGAAATATTTGTAATTTTTTTCCCCATGTTTCATAGCAGGTATCAGAGGAAAAGGCATCAAGCCTGGATGAGTGTGTGTAGATGTCCACATGGGTTCAAAGCAGAGCAACTATGGCTGAGGGCTTGTTTAACAGCACTGCTCTATTGGATGGATTTTTTTTTCAGTGCATCAATGTTGAGGTCATCTATGTCCACTGTGCTTCCTTCCCCCCAAACATGCCCTAGAGCACTCAGTGAGAAGGGAAAGCTCAGGGCAGGCATGTGAGAATTGGACCTGTCAGCTGCAACATAATGCTATTTCCTGTGCTGCTTTTTATCTATCCCCACAAGTCTGCTGCTTCTCAATTAATGTCCCAACCCGGGTGGATAACACACATGCTAAAAAGTCCTGCCAATTCCAAAATACTACCCTCAATAGCTTGTCACCTGAAAGACCAATGAAAAATGTGTTTAATTTAAGGTATATCGGTATTTAACAGTGATCTGTGACACTTTAGACAGGAGATCAGGGATGAATCTAATAAAATAGAACACAAAACAAGTCAGTTTTGATTAGGGCAGCGAAATAAGAGATGTGTGGGTTTGGAGAAGAGAAAATAAAAAGGACTTGGCTAGAAGTTGATTTCCTGCAGAGAATTTAAGAGGTTTGTCCAGCATATGAAAGTAGAGATAGGGAGGCCCAATGAAGGAACAATTCTCCCCCTAATCACAGAGGCACTAGGGTATACTATATGTTCAAGGGTTGGGCGAGTACAGGAAATCACTAGATTATTCCGTTATCATGAGATTGTTTTTACTCTTCATAAAGGACCCGGAAACTCTAAGGAAGACACAATCCATTCCTGAGTTTTCAGCCTTTTATGTTGGTGAGGTCAGGAGGCTGTACCCACTCTACCTCCTCCCCCTACAGTAATTATTGTTTTATAGGGACACAGATTACTGCTTTGTCAGCAGTTCAGAACAGACCCTAAACACGGGGATGTTTCGTTTCCTTCCAAAGGCCAGCCTGCTGGTGCAGGCTCACATTTGCTTTCCGTGGTTTAGCATCTCTGCAAAGATCAAGCATGTCAGATGAATGGCTGCAACTTTTGTCAGCGTACAAGCTGAGACATGCTAAGAATTAAGCTGATTTAAAGTCAAATACTATGTACATCCAAAAAATATAGCTGGTGCTAAAAATGTGGCCCAGAAGAGATTATAAGCGACTCCAAACATGATCAAACTACCAACAGTGGAATCACTGCAGGTTCTTCAATATCCCTAATGATTTTTCTTGCTTCTACAATAAAGTTTTAATTTAAAATATTAAAAGCAAGGTCATCTGAAACAAAATTCAGTCTGCAATGATATGCATGAACCCAGAGCTTTAACATAACTAGGTTGTGGAGCACTGTATACCAGGTCAGAGAAAGTTGTTCCTTAGACCTCTATCAAGGATGTTAACCAACATCATGTCAAGTTCCACACTGTTCCCAGTTCCTACTTCTCTTCCTTTGCTCCACCAATTTTATATCTAGATAGAGCAGAAGACTAGGATATGAAACTCAATCCTCAGACAATCATAAGATCTATAGCACCCCATTCCCTTGGCTAAAGCATTTAGTCCAGACAGGCCATACCTGTGAATAAAGGGCTTTTCAAGAGCAATTCTTTCCTGGGACTGTTCACTTAGGACTTGGGGAAAGGAGCAGCCTTGGGTTATGGAACCAGAAGGATAGGAATCTAGAGTTTGTGAAGGCACAGGGAGGGCAGGGTCTGTAACAGAAGACAGTAAGGCCAATAAGGGAAGAGAAAAGCAGAGCTAAAAGAGAACCAGCAAAAATACCAAAAGACAAAGAGTTAGAAAACAGGATGGCAACTTTAGAAGCCCCTGAAAGTCAGGAGCCACCTGGAGGTAGACCAGCTTTCTCACCAGGATATTAGGAACTGGTTGGGCTCAGTCATGTGAGACACAAATGCTCATCCTTTGGCTTAGGATTCTTCTGCTGGACTTCTGTCCCATATAAAAAAAAATACCCTACTAATATAAAGGACAATAAACTCCAAATTTCAAAGTACCCCCCTCCCCAAAGCAGATGGAATGATGTTAAGTTCTTTGAATAAGAGATTGGAACTACATAGTTATTTAGTGGTTCTGTCTAGTTTTTAGTCTTAGAAAAGAATAATGCTGTTACACAGTAAGTTACTTCAGGGTGGTGATTTAGAGTTGCTTCAATTCCCACAGACATTTGAAGCAAAGCTGTTTGCTTCCCCTGGGCAGAAGCCAATGTATTCACTAATGATTCTGCAGAAAGCACAATTTATCAAGTCAGTGCGGTGAACCGCCAGTGAGAAAAGAACAGCCTAGGACAGACCCAGAGACTAGAGAGAGGTCCCCTCTAAAGCTTCAGCTGTAATGCATCTTAACTGGAAGCTTGCTAAGCATTTCCACAGGCTGGAGTACAGCATGGCTGCTTAAACACAGATGGCTTCAATCAGTGGGTCCCTTAAGGGGCAATCAATCCTACTGGGAATCTGAAGATGACCATTGCCTATTAGTATAAGTACTGAGATCTAAAGCACACAGAGAAGGAAAGAAGACACACTTTTGAGAGTCTTTGTTATCCTTGTTGGCTAGTATTACTAACAGCACTGATCATTAATTCCACCACTCACTATCTGCCAGGAAATCACTGAACATTTTTATTTACATGATTTCATTTATTTCTCCAACTTCCCTATGAGAGGAGAGGTAAGATTGCCTGCATTTCTCAGATGAGAAATTAAGCTCAAGAAGATGACTTACCAAAATCATGAAACTAAGGCTGGCCCAGGACTTGAAACTATGCCTAATGGGCTTATGAGTTTAACCAGTATGATCCAGTGCCAGGTTTCCCTCCAACGAGGCTGCTACCTCCTAGTTCCTGTACTATGCCCAGCAACCTGCCATTTGTTGATGCTGCCACTAGACTGCATACCCTGGAGAGAAAGGAAGATGATTATGGAGGTGTTTCTGGCTGAGGAGAAATGGGAGCTCTGGAGTCCTCAAAAGCAATGATTCCATGATGAGGGGTAATCTGATATTCGAGTCTCGGCTTTAATGCTTTCCTCCTAAATGAGGGCTAATAAATCAGAGATCTAACAGACCTTGCAGCAAGCCCTGGAAAGAGCTAGGCAATGGTTGTCGAGTCTCAGAGGTATATCTAGAAAATGCCTTCTGGTCTAGACAATAGAATTTAATATTCTCTCTCTCTCTCTCTCTCTCTCTCTCTCTCTCTCTCTCTCTCTCTCTCTCTCACACACACACACACACACACACACACACACTTCAGTGTCCCTCTATGGTGACACAACCACAGTGACACAGTACCCCATCTGCAAGCATGAATACTAAACAAGCTTTGATACAACTGCAGCCACTGTGGAAGAAAGTCAGATGTTTGGCTGCCTGACCTGTTTCTCTCAAAGGCTCACCTCGTTATGGGTATAACTTGCCTTCCATAGCTCTATACTACAAGATCCCAGACCCTGCATTCGGTCCTTCGGTCCATCAGGACTGTGTCAGGGCCAAAATCAAACGCTGTAGGAGTTAGTAAGCAGAAATGTTGATGATGAAAACAGAGAGGTTTCGCCAGGCGGTGGTGGTGCACGCCTTTAATCCCAGCACTCGGGAGGCAGAGCCAGGCGGATCTCTGTGAGTTCAAGGCCAGTCTGGGCTACCAAGTGAGTTCCAGGAAAGGTACAAAGCTACACAGGGAAACCCTGTCTCGGAAAAAAAAAAAAGAAAGAAAAAGAAAAAGAAAAACCAAAACAACAGAGAGGTTTCTTTTGCAAACACACACACTGCTCCCAGCTAGTTGTCCTTGAGTTAAAACAAGGTTTGGTTTGTGGCCTCTGGAGACAAGGACATTGTCTGCTATTGGAAGGAGGAGTGTCCAACACTTACATAGAGGAACAGAGACCGCCTTTGGAGAACTAGAGAGTTCTGAATGGAGGAGGAGATGATGATGTTGGTGATGGTTGTGATGATGACAAGGTGACAGAAGAAAACAGTGATGGTGAATGCCACCTATAAACACAAGCACAGTACAGCAACAGTTACCCTCGTTATTGCCAAGACAAACGCGAAGCAGCGTCTATTCTCAATCCAACTTCCTTGCAGTATAACTGTATCGTTTAAAAATAAAAATAAAAATAAAAATAAAAGCCTGAATCCTTCCCCCTCTTTGGCCCTCCAACCCTCCCAGCTTTCCTGAGCCAAGCTGGAATGAGACTGCACTGAACGGGTCAAGAAGGCTAGGGCCTGAGAGATAATGACATGAGTTCTGTAGACCGGGATGTTGGGGTGATTCCAGGGGCCACCAACGCACTTCCCAGCACCCAGCAGCCTGGCTGCAGAGCTGGAGGAACCAACTCTAGCTAGAGAGAGGACGCTAAGGTAGGAGCTTATCAGCTTTGGCCAGAACCCTACAGCCGGGGAGGCCGAGCAGGCAGCCTTTGGCTGGCAAGAAGAGGTAGGGCAGACGGCGGCCAGGAGCAAGACTCTTTTACCTGACCAGGTACAGCCGGGGTAGCGGTGGCTGCGAAGATGCCTCAGCGCTCCAGTCCAGAGTCACAGCAGTGAAGCAGCCGCTGCGCCTTCCACCGCCGAGGCCCCGCCCCCAGCCGCAAGCTCCGCCTCGCTAGCACGCGCCTACCTGACAGGCTGTTTGGGGGAGGTGTGCAATGGACTGATAGACAGCCATTCTGACCAATAGAAATGTGTAGCGGCTGCTGAGCTAGAGGATGGGAAGGCGGGCAGAGAGCCGCAGCGCCAAATTAACTGACCAAGCACTGTTCCTGGCCCGATTGCTGAACCCTCACGGCGTGGCCTGGTTGCTGGGTCGAGCATGATGGTTTCCAGGCTAGGGTCTAAGTGACCGGTGAAGGTGGCAACCTGTTCTCGGAGTCCATCCCCCTGGCTTGCTACCTTTCGTGGCGCAGGCTCGGCATTCGCGGGAAGTGATGGGGGAGGGGAGCTGGTGGCCTCAGCTTTGCCAAGGTTCCCTAGCCGTAGAGAGACGTGGCCAGGCCTAGTGGCTCCCTGGGGTCCTCCCAGCGTCCCTTACTGCATTCTCTATTATAATCTAAAATTGGCACACACACACACACACACACACACACACACAGAGGAAAACTTAATAAACCAAACCTTTATGTTAGTTCTCCAGCAGGTCTCCGCCTAACCTTCCAGTCCCCTCCAAACTGCTCTTCCCGGAAACGACCCAAAAGTTAAATCGTTTAAACAGAAAAATGTGTCGGGGTGTTAAGCAGCCGGGGCCTTGCAAGGCAGCGAGCTTGCTTGTGTGAATCTTGTATCGCTGAAGCTCTTTGCAGTACCGTTGCATGCAGTGTTGGTAACTCGGTACAGATCTTGATACCCAGAGACACGGTTTTGTTCCAAATAAAGCTCTAACCATCGATGATTACAGCTCAAACCAGGAAACCTTTCATAAGAGGATTAGAGCTCTTAATGACATTGAGATGTGGTATGTGATTTGGGGATCTTTTCCAAGTAGGTAGGCAGGAAAGGGCATTGCCTTTAATCTGCTCCCCCATAAATACAAAATCCACCATCTGTTCTTAAAAGCAGAATTACATACTGAGCAGTATAAAATGGTAAATAAGTATGGAAATATTTGAGAAAGTGTAAAGTGATTCTTTTCCTTCAAACATTTTTCTATAAATAATTTGTGAGAACTCTGATGTATTCTTAAAATAGAAGCTAAATGCCAATAGATGCCAGATAGACAGGTAGATGGGTGGGTAGGTAGATAGATAGATAGATAGATAGATAGATAGATAGATAGATAGATAGATAGACAGACATTAATATTCTTTTTTGATCCTCACTTATATCTGAAGTGAATTCCATGGACAGATATGGAAATTTGGGTTTCTAGAGGTTAAATCATTGTCTACCTAGAGTTCATATTAAGTCAATACTTCTCCGTATTTATCACGGAGTGTAAATGCATTAACATTTGCGGGGGGGGGGGGCTTGGAAATATTTTCTTTTTCCCTGAAATGTATCCTAGAGGAACCTAGTTCCCCTATGACCAACTCCTTCAAACTGCAATCTTCAAAGCACTTCCAATGCCCAAGTATCACCTCCGAAATGTGTTAGGAGCATTTGTAAGTCAGCTTTGCTCTTAGGAAGGGCTGTGATTTGATATTAATAGGAAAGAAGTACATTTATCCAGGGCTTGACACCAGCTAGTTGCTAAATTGATGTAGGAATTCTTTAAAGTACTCTAATAAAATAGTTTCTTGGCTATGAGAATTTAGTCCTAGGAAGGAAATAAAAAAAGGATCTAAAACCCCAAAATCTTCACCCAGTATTGTTTCAACAAAGTTCTAAAGAAATTTCTAAACCCTATTCTGACCTTAAATCAAACCCACAAATGTTGCTCTTACCCAAGAAAGGCAGGAGGAGGGAAGAAAGGGTTTACTAGCTGTCTGTTACTGTGACAAAATATCAGAGATAAAAATCTCAGAGGAGACAGGGCTAGAGAGATGACTCAACCATTAGGCAATCAATGCTCTTCCAGAGGACCAGGGTTCAGGTCTTAGCACAGCCCATGCACAACTCCAATTCCCGGGATCCCAACACATGGTGCACATGCATAGATGCAGGCAAAACACTCTCACACATAAAATAATGTATATTTTAAAATATTAGAGCAAAGGGAGAGGAAAGTCTGCAATTCACAAATTCCCTTGTGATCCTTTTATTACCACCAAGAGCGAGTAAAATTACCATCCGCATCACAATGGGTTAATTCCACTTGGAAAAAGAAACCATCCTCTTCCTATAGGAAGAAGAGAAGGAGAAGCTTAAGCCAGGTTTTATACTCATATGTATCCATAATATACATGAAGTTTCTCTGCCCTGCTACTCTTTTCATATAGCAATTTTAAGATTTTTTTTTAAAATTTATATGTATGTATATATGTGGCATGCATGTGAGGGTGTCCAAAGAGGCCAGAAGAGGGCATCAGATGCCCTGGAGCTGGAATTAGAAGTAGTCGTGAACCACCTGACATGAGTACTGAGACTGGAACTCAGCTCCTCTGCAAAAGCAGCAAGTGCTCTTACATGCTGAGCTCGGTCTTCATCCCCTCTATAGTAAATGAAACCCAAGGATATGTTGTTGGGCTACTAAGGGTTCTCTTTTTAAGAATAAGGTAAATAGGTCAAGTCACTCAGATGGCATTCTCTCTCTAAAGCCTTCCCCTTGTTAATTTCTAGTTCTCTATCATGTTGTCTGTACTTACCCTATTATCCTCATTAAAGCCTGTTGGTCTATTTGTTTCCTCCACAGATACCCTTTTATTACCTCCAACTGCAAGTACCCAGCCCACAGATCACACTGCATTAAATACTCTTAGTAGAATAAACCCTCTCTTCCTACAGGAATTCATTGTCTATGGTTTGTCATTGTATCCCTCACAAGTCCTTGTGTATTATTATAAGTGACCTACTTTGCACAGTTGAATCATTTTTTCCCCTGAGGTGGGTGGGTGACTTCAAGGTGTGACTTCGAAGGACTGATTAACAAAAGCAGCAGAGAAATGAGATGCATAGGGAAGAACAGGAATATTGGTGCTCTTATCTGAAAGGACCCTAAACCTAGCAGGGAAGCACAGAGATGAGAAGTAACTGGTAACATCCTCTGTGGTTGCCAGGTCCCACCTCTGAAGTTGTGACCAATCAGAAACAAGGTTTGTCAGGGAAGTGAGTCTGTAGAATTGGTGTCTGGATGTAAGGGGCTAGCAGGGATGATGAGGTACTGGTAGAGACTACTGAGAGGTATAAAGAGAAATAGGAATGGAACCAAAGAGCTCTTCTAGAAAAAATAGATTTGTTCATTTCCTTTGTCAGGGATGATCCCACAGCAAATCATTCTAGAAAGAGCTCAACATTTGATCCCACTGACTAGTAATATGGTCCAGCTCAAATTACTCAACCAATCTCAACCTGTTTCTGTATCTATCACTGACTAGGAATGACAAAGACATGCAGTATTCTGCAAGATTGATATTGCATTTATTTCAGTCCCCAGATAAACTATGAATGGGAGGGAAAGGCCATCCATGAGGATTATTAATCATGAAACCAATTATCACATCCCTCTGGAATGTAGGACACTGATGGAACAGCTAATCTCCAAGAAGCTTCCTCCTCATTTGCCCTCAGCTGGATAAGCAGCTTTTCATCTCAACCCCAGATAAATTCAACTCACCTGCTGTGGGTTCACCATAGTATAGATGCTGTCCTATAGACCAATAGCTCTCATCATCTCTGAATTCTCTGAACATGCATCAAAATGACAACCTTGCCAATGTGTCTAAGAATTCCAGACACAAAAAAGCAAAGCTTTGTGCTACAACACTGTCACTTCATGTGGGTTCATAGCTGGGAAAAAGATTAGCTGTCCTGTGGAAGTCAGAATCCAAACAGCAGACCTCCGTATTACTTGGACCATTGGATGGCTCATTGCCTTGGAGGGGCTCCTCTTCTGATGTATCATCCAGGTTTATTTATTCCCCACACATTCTGAAGAGGATTTAAGTAACAAATTACCCTTGTAACATTGTGATGTGTAGGTGAATATTGTGGAAGCCAGTAAAATGTTTGCAGACTGACAAGATTTTTTTTTAAACTAGCTCACAGAAGTCTTAAAAAAAATCTTCAGTACTACCAGAGGTACCATATGGAGAAATCACTCTAACAGTGCTCCAAAGCTACTGCATTTATGCAATCATTATGTCCAAAGGAACAAAAACCTGCACTTAAAGCTGAAAATATGAACACACCCAGTAATTCCCTAAAGGAACTTAGCTTTGACTTCCCAGAACACATCATAGTGAGTATAGTTCTCTTGAATATAGAGGTGAGAAGAATGGACAGAATTGTGAGGGAGTCGTGCCAAGAGACATATCCTAAGCAATGACAGCAGGATGTCTGTTCAGTAAAATCCTACTGACTTGTCATTAGCTGGCAAGAGTAGCCTGGCAGGTTGCTTTGTCAAAGAGTCACTTATTAGTCACAAAACCCACAGGGCTGCACCCCTGAGGGCAGGAGAGAGAAAACAGCAGGCCTCCAAAGCACCTGCTTTGTGATGAACATCTCAAAGATGACAGGAAGGGGGAAATCCCTCCCACAGAGACTGGGGCAGTGCTGCAGACAATGCAGCCTAATCTTGCTCCATGGCATAAATGAGCCCCGAACTGTCAGTCAGAGGAGTCAGAACCCAGAACAGTAGGCTCTGCAGAGGACAGCGGCAGCCTCCACCAGAAAGGAAAGGTACTTTAAAATCCCTTTTCATTATAATACTATCACACAAATGTAGCCTGAAACACACAAGAAACAAATAAAAATTGATGATAACCCCAGTATTGAATCAGCAAGCATTCCTTGAGCCACTTTTAAATACCAGGCTGTTTTCTAGATCATGGTGATGGAAAGGTCGCTAACCAGCTCTCTTTGAACTTGAACTGGCCAAGAGGAAACAGAGGTGAATTATGTGATCGCACAGAGGGGAAAGTTATCACTTTCTAGGCTGAGTATCAGAGAGAAGAGAATGTGTTCTCTAAAAGCAGAATAGAAGGGAACCTAGGTAGACTCAGCAGGTGGGGGTAGGAGGAGAAGCATCTGAG